ATTGTTATCACACTGTGCCAATTCGCGGAAAATATTTCTCCTGGATTATCTTAGACTGACTGACTCAGACAATTGATGGGGGACTTCCCAAAAACTAAGCAGCCTTCCGGATGGGGTACTCCTGTCCCGGCAAATTTTCCCCTGCTGAACAGGTAGGTGACTCTTGAGGCCTTTTAGGAGTTTGACCAATTTAAGTATATCTGTCGGACCATCTCCAGCGAGAGATATATAGGAATATTGTCCGAGAATCGAGTGCTTTTAGAAATTTGTCCAATATATTGGCTGATTTAGGAGTTTATCGATATTATGAAGAAAATCAATTCTCCTGGAACAGAGAGGAGACCCAATGGAAAAGTCAGTCAATTTTGCATTTTAATTTAATCACCTCCAGTCATGTTGATTTCTAATCACGGTTAAATGGGAGGATGGTCCTAGGTTTTGGTGCATTCGATAACCTTTCGAAAAGTTGGACTGAGAAGGTGTGGCTGTTTCCCAAACAATCCGCCTATGCCTTGTCGCTGTCAGATCAACGTTACTGTACAGCTTGAAGACAGCAGTTCTAACCAAGGATCAAGAACGACGGCTGAACTGCGCTCGCTTCCACGCACAATGAATGACTATACCACGTTCCGGTCAAAGGTGACCTTAGTAGATGTGTAAATTAAGAAAATAAGGTTAGACCTGCCTCTAAGATAAAGCGGTTGAGGGAAACGCGTTTACTCAAACCCGTGAGTTTCTCGTATGTGAGTCGAAACACGGAAATGTTTACCGTGCAACATGGTGTAATAAATTTCAGACAGATCTGTTTTCGAAGAGAATGGTGTCCTTCGACGAAGCAGTAACCGATGTCATTTAAGAAAATTGTTCAAAAGCTGGGAATGCCATGGATATCACAAACCAGAGTCGTTTTTCCCATGCAAGAGGATCAATGCGTTGCAATCTTAACAAACAGAGCACTTGTCGAGGTCACGGCGACAAGTCGTTTGGGTCTTATTCAAGTCGTTTGACGGTCATGTAGAAAAAAAATTTCTGCTTCAAGATGGCTTCCTATGATTTTAATAATCGATGTCAAAAACATACTCAACTGTCGCTTCTTTCCTGGTTGTAGCAATTTTTACATTGCATTGCAGTCGATCAATCGGTAGCAATAATTTCGTTAGTCAAAACCTACAGTGATCAGATGAAATCGGATTAGAACGTTTTGTTTGTTTTGTTTTATTTCCCATTGAAGAGTGACAGTATCTTGTAGCTCATCGTTCCAGTTCTTCGCCCAGTTGTCACCATCGACCATCGTTACTGTGCCTCTACGATGCAAAATCTGATTAAACATCGACTTCACACCTTTGGCATGACGTCAGAATGGATAAATACAGAACAAACAGAGAAAGGCAAAGAGAAAAATGAATTCGGTGGCTGTGAAACTTAGATTGCAAAACCGACACTGCATAGCATGTGACTATCAAATGAATGGAATGCATCTACGAAGAAATGATGCCGGAAGATGAAGGAAACCGTAATAATCGTATCGGACCAATTCATGAGTAAAGACTATGTTTGTCCGGGAACTCAACTCTGATGCATGTTCCACGTTTGAGCCCAAAGCCTCAATTGTGTAGCTATTCCCTCAGAGTAGTGATTTGTACAGTGACATTCTCTGCTTTATATGACTGGACGATCCCAGGCGCTGCAGATTATAATAATTATACTAAATTCGATACGCAAAATAACGTTTGCAAGAAATTTCCTGAAGAATACCGTTACGACCGTCATCCCTGATAGCTTTCGAAATGTACAGTGTTATGATTGTATTGATTACAGTATTTAGCGCGTGA